GGAGTTTTGCCCGGAGGTTTATGTGAGTCTTGTTTTGTTCGCATCCAGCCGGAAGATGCCGGCGAGCATCGATAAGTCCCAGAAACTGCGAAGAGACCCAATGTCCATGTTGGCTATTAGACTTACCACATGAAGATTATCCTGCCGCTACTAAGGTCTGGTGAATATGTGACCAGTGACTTTCAATTGTCTGCAGTGAGCGTTTACTCAATCTGCATGTCAGCGTATTTCGATACGTATTCAGAGCGGCTGGCTTCGTCAGTTGACTGGTGTCAATGAGCTCACAACATCGTCTTGGGTGTCCGCCAAAACGCATCCGCATGTCAGCACATAAAATTGCATGGTCGGTGTCCACACCTGTACTCCAAATCGAGCGACAGTTCTGGACGCAGCCTCTCCATCGGTAACTTATTGCAATGTGATCGATTTGCGCCCAAGGCTGGTGGGCGCCAAACCGCCCTCCCTCGGGTGCCTTGTCGGAAATTAGTGCTCGCAAGAAATAAGCGAGCATCTTCACACAAATGAAGTAACCGCTCATCGTTATCATTACGGGAGCCTACACCGTGTTGAGCGCCCAGATGCAGTTCATCTGTGGATAATTTTCCAACGAGCGTTCAGATCCCCCGGCAGCACAACAGTGTCCGTGCTTCTTCTGTGACGAAGGAGCTGGGTCAGTTGGCGGTAGAAGTCGTTTGTTGCTGAATCATCGCTAGATTTTGTGGGCGAGTAGGCAGCGATGATGAATAGACACCTATTAGTCCCGTGCGACTTCGAAGCTTTGAACGAGCCAGGTAATCGGACCGCACACAGCCGGATACTGATCGGGATCCAATCAACCAGAGCAGCTTCAGCCCGGGGACTCAGGGCAATGCCGACACCAACTTGGCCGGTGTTCAAAGCTGCATGGTCACCGGAGAGGTGCAATGAGAAAGTGCTGCTGCTGTCACCTGAAGGGAACCGAAGAGTGAGCACAGAGCTGGAGTCTTGCAGGCGGGTCTTCGATAAGCAACAGATATCGATCGAGAGGGTCTCTAAAGTTCGGGCAAGTGCTGCCTGTTGAACGATTTGTAGCAGTGCGCGTACATTTAGGCATGCCAATCTGAAGGAGGATCGAGGACTCCAAATGGATGCCGATGAACTGGGGTGGACTGCCTAGTTGGACATGGGATTATCAACAGGACAGGAGTGACGCTCTGCGACTGTGTGGGTGCGTTTGCATGTGAGATGAAACCATAAGATAAACGGCTAGCAAGGCTTGTTGGGGGAGGGACAAGAATCGGAGGTTGAAAACTGGGGGGATAAATGCGATTTTTGAACGGAACCATAAGGGTGAAAAGGCGTAAGAGGGTGAAGAAGAAAACGGGAAGGCTTGAGCAACAACATCTAAACCTCTATCCACCCTGCTCGATGCAGCAGGTAGGGCACCGTTGATTATCCTCTGCAACGGCCAGAGCATCAGAAAACTGTTTGAAGACAAATTCATTGTATTGCGTGGGCAGAATACTGTCAGGTTGCCCAGGCATAGCCAGAACTATTAGGATTCTTAACCAAAGCCTTTGGTTCAAAAACCTGACCGCAAAGCAGCGAGTTTGGCAGTGATCCACAAGGAGACCGTTTTAAGGAATAAGGATCCACCGCCATCTTAACCTCCAAATCTGGAGGACCAGGAGGCTGATTTTGTCTGGCCTCTAACCATTGACCAATCTGGTATGAGTGGCTCTGAAGGTGCAAAAAAGCACAACCCAGCATAGCTCAATGGATCTCTGAGGCACACAAACCATCGCACCATGGTAAGGTAGAGCCTTATTGCGATGGAGACAAGAGAGCATTTGGTGCTAAGAAAGAGCGGCCATTTGCATTGTCCAAAACAATACATTCTGATATCCTTGAGAAGTACTGCGAACTGGTGCCTCATAATTCAGGTGTGGATGATCCAGACGGAATTATTGTGCTAGTTAGGTGAGAAAGCGTAGTTACTTGCGCTGAGCAGAAACACAATCTAAGGAGAGGGTGCTATTACAAAAGTTCACGGCATGTTTAAGCAATTGCGTAGGTGGCACACTTAGGAGGGCAATCATTAACCACCTAGTATGTACATTTTGCTGCAGAAACAATACTGACAATCACATATTAGAATGTCTGAAATAATCAAGATGTTGCTGCGTGATTTTATATCTCGGATTTTACTCGATTTTGAGAAGGCTTCCATGAACGCAGTGAGAAGTACTTTTCCAGACAAGAAAATCAAAAGCTGCTATTTCTGCCTACGCCAAATCCTCACCAGGAAAGCCAGTAAGATTGTCCTAAAGACTGCAGTTGAAACGGATGTAAACATAAAACGCCAGTACAAGTCTTTGGCTGCGTTTCTGATGAAATTACCGCCACATTTCCAAATGAATCCTATAATGCCGTGCTCAAAAACTTCTTCGCGAACATTTAAGGTGTAAATGGCAGAGATCCACAGTTTCCACTTCAAATGTGGTACCAGCGTGATACAATCTTTGAGAGGTGTCGGAAAACTATAAATTGCTGTGTGGGATTCCACAATGCACACTAAGTCAACATACCGCATCGGTTATCAAAGTGTACAATGAGAAAAGTAAATTTCACTAAAATTTCATACCCAGACTGCTACAATTTTTCTGTGTGAGCAGTCCGCGGAGAGCATTTATGTTTGTGTGATTTAAGATGTGCGTAATTTTCGTGTGGGCTTTCATCATGGAACCGTTCTCAACGCGTGACTCACCTTTTCGGAGATAAGCCGGCTACGGGTGAGTGTGCAGCCGTATGCGATGCTCCGTGTATGACACGGTCAGCACGCGCACATAAGCATCACAAGTGAACAGGAACATTTCGTCTGCCACCCACTACAGATAATGCGTTCACGTTCTGCTCAAGCGATGGGCCCCGCCTGGGGTTATCTCGGTAAAGCCGATTCGATGCAATAGCAAGAACGTCTCAGAACGAGTCACCAAGATTAATGTATTTGAACCGAGGGTACAAGGTAAAAAGCTATTAGGAAATATAGAGACAAGTAGTAGCAGCAAACAAAGAATAAGAGATTTATTAATGAAACATGATCCAAGCGTCTTAATCTACAACGGTGTAAGCTGTGTTACTCCACTTGTGACCCTTTGAATGTTGCAACAATCATGCGCGGCAGCCCACCAAATACACTTCGCGGACGGAATAATTGGAGCTTGTTCACACACACACACACACACACACACACAGAGAGAGAGAGAGAGAGAGAGAAGGGCGCGTATCCCGATGTGGTGGTGACCAAGCTGCAAAAGTAGCATGTTGAATGCAGGGTGGCGCACCACATGCCATATCATTTGGTTTGTTCATTACACATGTATTCGTCAGCAAAATATTACAAAATTAGTGCAGAATTATATAGGTAGAATTTCATCACATCTAGGCTCACTCAGACAGCCTCCACAAGCCCGGAAAAGCACTGTACGCGCGTTTCATCCTTCGGGAATCATCAGCAGTGCGCATTCCATCGGACCCTTGGTAGGGCTCGAACCCGCAACTCGACTGTTGCCAGTCCGTGGTTGAGACCACTGAGCTACGGGGGACGGCAAGGACCATCGTGAATAAGTTACTAGATGTGATATAGCGCTGCTCACTATCCACTGACTTACACGTTACTGCCGTGCAGAGGACAGGGTAGCCCCCTCAACAAGCGACGAGCTTAACAAACTTAAGCCGCCAATTATCTTATGGCATTATAAGCAGTTTGTTCTGTGTACTGATTACAGAAGAGTAGTAGGGGGAGTTGAATGGTATAGGTAGAATTTCGTCACATCTAGGCTCACTCAGACAGCCGCCACAAGCCCGGAAAAGCACTGTACGCGCGTTTCATCCTTTCGGGAATCATCAGCAGTGCGCATTCCATCGGACCCTTGGTAGGGCTCGAAACCGCAACTCGACTGTTGCCAGTCCGTGGTTGAGACCACTGAGCTACGGGGGACGGCAACGACCATCTAGTAACTTATTCACGATGGTCGTTGCCGTCCCCCGTAGCTCAGTGGTCTCAACCACGGACTGGCAACAGTCGAGTTGCGGGTTCGAGCCCTACCAAGGGTCCGATGGAATGCGCACTGCTGATGATTCCCGAAAGGATGAAACGCGCGTACAGTGCTTTTCCGGGCTTGTGGCGGCTGTCTGAGTGAGCCTAGATGTGACGAAATTCTACCTATACCATTCAACTCCCCCTACTACTCTTCTGTAATTAGTGCAGAATTAATTGTAGGTGCATGGAAATTTAGTTAAATGTGACCGTAGTTTGGTTTCACAACCTCTTGCAAGTTTCCATGTTTTCAGGGGTGCGGACACTTGGTCTTCGCCGTCGATTCTTCTCCACCAGAGAGCCAGTTGTTTCAAACTGACGATACATTCTCTGAATATTGTTTACAGGGAGCCCATATGGTACTAAAGTGTGCACGAAAAGGTGTTTGTGTCGCTACAAGACTCCTCATTTCTGCAAAGACATCACAACTTTCATCTTCTGTTCAACCATCAATTTGCGCTTTTGGGCCATCTGGAAAAATGTACTTGACGCCAAGAAAATATCCCATAAAACTTCTCATCACATCCACTGGATTTTCCACAAACCAAAGTATACGAATACGAGTTTTCAACAGTACAACCATGAAAAAAAAACAAATGGTATCAGATTCCATGCACCAGCCTGTAAAATTTTAGGCAGGCTAAGCAAGCTCCCGTGTAATATGCATCTCTGTGCATGGGGTGAGTGAAACACAGAGTAGACTGCTGCTAACCAATGCCCCAGTTCCACATCCGTTAAGATGCGTTTGGAATTGGAAAGACTGTTGTCTTCTGTGAAGAAGAACGAGCACACACATCGAATGGAACGGCCAAAGACCGTCAGCAGTCTCATGGACTGACAAAGACGAGCGAAATGAAGGATCACAAGTAGTCGTGCGATGGTGAATGGGATAGAAATATGTGGACCGAAATCGAAAACTCACTCTGGTGTATAAGTCCGACAAAGCGCTGAGTTTGAACGTCTGAAGAATGGGGACGGGAAAGCATGAGGGGATTAGAAAAGACGTTAACAAAACGAAACAAATAAGAAGAACAAATCGCTTCAATGCGGTTGGCTCCCTGAAGCGGAGCAAGGTGTAACCTCGCCGATGGGGATATAAATGATAGGGTTTAGAAACATAGGGAAAACCGAGGCAACTAACAAACTAGCAGCATCCTCTCCCCCACAGGTTGTGACGAGCAGGAAAAGTAACAAAGGTTTTCTCGGTGAGCAAACAATGTTCCGGCTAACAGAGGTAGGCGGCATCCGGTTCCGGATCCGTCTGTCTCTGTGGCCAGCCACAAGACGTCTGAGCTTACAGAGGGAGCATGGGTGATTTGCGCTGCACCATCCACACACCCCATATCCAGTGAAAACCCGAAGGAATAAGACCGGAAGGCTTGTGGATGGGAGCCACATTTTATCAACGGAGCCGGCCCACACTCCTTCACAGGCAAACACAAGCACGCTGTATTTGGGGAATCAAGCACACACAAAGAGGTGACTGGACCGAAGTCTTCTCCACACTAAGTGCATGGAACCACTCTTCAAGCCGAGCACGGCCATAAGGACCGTGCACCCCGTTCCCTCCCGCAAAAAGCAACTGTCTCCTGGAGCCAGCAGTGGGTAGTGGGTAAGAGACAGGTAAGCAACTTGTCGACATGCACATCAACAGCAGCCACACTGGGGATATCAAGCAACAGCCAATCAGTTGAAATGACAATATCAAACAAAATAAATCGAATAATGCATACAGATATGCCGACATAATACTTCGACAAATGAGTATATGAAATAAATTGACTGCCAAAAATCCGCTATATGTTCAAGACGTCAGAAAATATATTTTAAGAAAATGTTACGAACGTGAAAATGTCATCAAGTTTGACAACAATTAAATTAGGCGACGTACGTAAGTTTATGGAAGGTAGTTCACGTAGAGATTAATGAGACAATATAACAAACCCACCACCTGAAATAAAGAGACCCAACATGCAAGCTCGCGGTTAGTATATCGAATGCAGCGTACCTACAAACACTGCGCCGGTTCTGCCTACGTTCTCTGCAGGACCCGTCGTCGCTTCGGTGGTGGCCCAGAGTGGCATGGCCCATGGCTCACTAGGCCTGCCTGGCTAAGGCACTCGTGACCGCATGTGCTACAGCATCATGCGCTCGATGTCGACGGAGTATAACACATCAGCGCCTGCCGATTCCGCACTTGCCGCTCATTCTCCGCATGCATGAAGTCTTTCTCCCGCATTTCGGTAACTGTCTTCGTATCAGAACGCGCCATACACGTCGAACAACCGCCTTCGATTCCCATAACGTGTAATCAGGATTAGAACATAAGAGGATCAATTTGACCATGTCCTGGTAACGAAGATTCGGTTTCCCTACATGCCGCTTCCAAACACGCAGCCGACCATATAATGGCTGCTTCGGTAACCGCGTCGAATCCATACGCCACACGTGACCGAGTCACTTCGTGTCTCAGCAAAGGTATGCAGTCTACTGCATACATTCCACTTCAGCGCAACACATCCGTGTCCGCAATTCTGTCACCCCAACCGATGCGCAGAAACCGAAGCAAACCGCCCGAGATTTCCCACATTCCGCCGGTACATCGTCCACGCTTCGCTGCCGTATCGAAGAACGGACAGCACCATGGATTTGTACACCATCAGCTTTGTGCCAATGATAAGCTGATGGTGGTTTCACACTCGGTACTCAAGCTTCCCGAGTGCCACCGTTGCCTTCGATCCGCGGATACGAAGTTCACTGTGCAGCTGCTGATCAGTCGACATCAAACTAACAAAGCAGCATAAACAGGAGGTGGTTTGCACCAATTCTAATTCGCGGCAATAATGAAGATTGCACCGCCGGTGAAGGATGGAAGTGACAGACTGTTTTGCTTGTGTTGATGGTGAGCCCGAATATGGCCGCTGTCGAAGCCAGAGCACTAGTCATGTGCTGCAACTCATCCGCGCTGTGTGAAAACAACGCACAGTCGTCAGCAAACAGTAACATACGGATAGTTGTCTCACAGATTAGGGTTCTCGCACCGAAACGACAGATGTTCAGCAATCCACCATGGTGCTCCACACGAACACCGTAAGCATAAGCCGCATCAAAAGCACAAGACATCATGGCAAGAAGACATATATTAAACAGGGTAGGAGCTAAGACACAGCCTTGCTTCACACCAGTGACAACTGTAAAGTCATCCGAGGTCTCTCCACTCAACTGCACCCTCGCCCGCATACCACTGTGCAGACATTCAATTAAACTTACAAACGCGGGCAACCAAACTTATTCAACACCAGCCACAATGCCTCGCGGTTCACCGTATCAAATGCCTTGGTGAAATCAACAAAAAGCAAGTACAACGGTTGGTGTCGCTCTACACTTCTGCAACTGACGAGCCGAAAACAACATATCTATAGTGCTGCGACCCGAACGGAATCCGCACTGCTCTGCGCCACCAGGTTCCAACAACCTGACTGACGAGGCGGTCGAGCAGGAATCGGGCAATCACCTTGCCCCTACAACTCAGCAAGTTAATGCCACGATAATTCGTGCAACCTTGTTCGTTCCCTTTGCCCTTGTACAGTGGTAACACAAGGGTATCCTTCAGCTCAAGAGGCACCTCCTCCTCAATCCACACGCGTTGCACCAAGTGGTGTAGCGCAGTCACCAATGCGGGTCCGCCGTGTTTCAATACTTCAGGCGGGATGCCGTCGGCCCCAGCACACTTGCCGTTTCGCAGCTGAGCAAGTGCTCTCTGCGCCTTCACATCGTGCTGCATGAGGCTGTTCAAAGTAGGAAAGTCGATCTCTGAACAGTTGTTCAATAGACAGTCAAAGTGTTTTCACCAGATCCACATTAGGTTTGCAGTCTGTGTGTAGGTAGCGCCTGAGCTATGATCGATCACCGTTCTCAGCGACCCCAACGTCGGTCCATACACCGCCTTCAAAGAGTCAAACAAATTCCTTGTGTTAGCGGCGTTCCGCTTGGAATTCCATCTGCCTCGCCTTCTCCGTCCACCATGCAATTTTAATATGATGGAGCTCCAGGGTCAGCCGTCGTGGAATTGGCTCAAAATTTCTTTTCATTCCCAAATTACTGGGGTCTGGGACATGTGCAGCAAATGCTGCATTCTTCTCCGACACCAATGCGCCAATCGTCGCATTGTTCTCATCAAACCAATCAGGCCGCTGACAGTTTGCTCGCCAGATGGTCTCCTCGGTAGCAGCTGTCACCTGTCCGCGAATGTGGTGTCACAGGTCGCCCACTGTGGCTATGCATTCCACATCACACAGGTGTGCAGCTATCGCCTTCTCCAGCTCAATACGTTTCGCTACAGTACCGAGGAAATGATGAATTTACGCCGATTCACGGCGGGAGTGCAATACATAGATTTACTAAAATATTTGTACAGTTTGGTCCGCACTAATTTGTGATCAGTGCCACACTCGACTCCACGCAATACACGTGTCATGCGCACTTCACGCATATCACGCTGATGTACGATGACAGTAGAGCAGGTGAGCGTGACCACTCCGTGGGTGCGTCCAAATTACTATATCACTCGCACTGAGTGCAAACCGAGTGTTCCTGATCGTCAGGCCGTAAGTGGCACACAGTGAGAGTAGACTGTCACCGTTCAAATTCGTTGAGCCAATCCAATGCGGACCGATGACATCTGTCCACACTGATGCAACACGCCTAACGCACGCGTTGAAATCACCCTGTAGAAATAGTCGGTCGCTCTGCGGCGCAGACCGTATCACAGAGGATAACTGAGTGTAGAATTGATCACGCGTGTCAACAGGATAACACATGATCGGACCGTACGTGCTTATAAAAGTAGCAGACTTATCACTTCCGAGTAGTAGGCCAATAGTCATCAGTCGCGCGCTGATGCCTGTCGGTTCATTCACCAGCTGGCCATTTGGGCGATCGGATATTGCAAATCCGACTCCATGTTTACGTGGTGCTGAGGCGGCGTTGCCCACCCAGTAGAATGTGTAGCCAGCACCTGCTTCATGCAACTTACTTTGCTCAGCGAGCCAAGTCTCACTGAGCACCGCAATATCGGTGGTAGCGCGCCAGTTCCATCGTGGCTAGTGCAGTGAGTCGCTTCGGGCGCTCGCTGGAGTTCCGGTCCAGTAGTGTGCGCACATTCCAGCACCCGATGTTGAGGATTTTGCGCGCAGGCATACGATTGCATTGGTGAGCAATCGCACGTGAGGTGGCGGTTGTGCTTCGGAGGTTTGCTTGAGGGACTCCACCTGGAGTCTTTGACTCAATAGCTTGACCCACAAGGCAGTGGGTGGTTTGGAGGTTTGCTTGAGGAACTCCGCCCGGAGCCCCTCAGATTCAAAAGCCTGACTCATAAGGAAGTGGGGAGCAGATCCAGCTAGGGAATGGGATTGCAGAGACAGATTTGGATCTGCTTGGCGGACGTCACACGCAGCCTTCAAAGTACTGGAGCAATTCATATATGTTTTGCGACATTAGTAGGATACGCACCTGCGACCACGGCCAGACGCAGGAGGGTTTGCACCAATTGGACCAGGGGCTGCCTGGCTTCAGGCGGGCAGTAGCAAACCATTGAACACATGGAAGTGTCCTACCACCGTCAGAATCAATGCGTGGAACTCGTACTCTACGCCAATCGAGCCGTGAGCTTATAACCCATAGACCTGTTGTATCCCATGGCTAGGTTTTACGGGACGAAAGCCATCGACCACTTCCTAACCTCCGGAGAGGATGGACTAGGATACTGGCAGGGCGCCCACACCTGACAGGAGAACGACTCGGGTTCTCAGTCAAAGTCTTGGATTAAATGTACCCCCGAAAGGCAGCGGATCTAGCACATGGTCAATTCACTGACTCATGCGAATTGGTGTCCTGGATCTTAGCAGGGAGAAGGGCATAACCCAACTCCCACCCAGCGGTCGGCACGAGGCGTCCAGGACATAAGACAATGGCACAACAGTAGCAGCAGTGGGTAGACCATCTGTTAGGATCTAAACACCACCAGCCTCAGCGCACCATAGGCTCTCCCGCCAGAGGTAACATACACACACGTCCATACGACATGGTATCCGGGACAGTTGGTAGAATCCGGTGCCATCAAGGATTCTCACTTCGACCATCATGGGATCAAGAGAGGAATACGAAACCCAAATCTGACGGATTCGCTGAGACCCGTGTTTTGGGACGATCAAAAGCTATCAGCTGATTCAGTCATATCGACTACGGGAGTATTCAAGTGAACCAAGATGAGCGTGAGGCCATACAGCTGGCCATCCGGATGAAGGGTGGTAGTTGACGTTGTGGCTCATTGGTGGCAACCCCGATCTAACATACCTCACCATCAACAGCAGTACATCAGCCATTTGAACTGATGCATCGCTACCATAGAATCATATCGACCTACGGAAAGAACAGTAATAACAGGAAGAGAAACGTGACTTATCGAAAAACTTTAATGGCCTAAGCAAACATTCAGAGTCAAGGTGCCTACACCTTGTCAACAACATACCGTCACAAACAGCTGACTATCGTGCAAAGATAAGGCGGCATCAGCGAGACAGCTTCCTGGCGGCTTTTACTGCCCCGCGTCATAATCAGTCATTACCCACAGATAACTCAGCACCAAACACACTTTAAACAGGTAGTCAGACTACGAGACGGTAGCCATAGGTGGAGGCTGAGAGCCATGTCCCGCAACGTCATGATCCAAGTACAAGGCGGGTCACGTGGACTCTAGCCTGGTTGGCGAGAAGGACCGGCGGCACCCAGTTTAGTCGTCAGTGACTTCATTTCCCGTTGACAATTCAGCTTTTATCCACCTCCAGTCTTACGCCACTTTAAATCTAGGAAAACAAACGAGACCCTCCGAAGTATGCAGTGACCGGGTAGACCTAGTACGTTCCTAAGGCCACGCGATTTATTCGGCGCTATCTGTTGTTCTAAGGAACTGGCTTGAGTACTACTGTAAAGCGTTGGACCACACACAATATTGTTGTAGACACGCGGTTGCCGTTCGACAACAGCAATGTTCCGCAGACAATTATGATCAAAGACTTAAAGGCGCCGAAGGTCCTCGGACCGAAAAGGCCAATTTGCACTCCCAAATAGTGGGGCGGCCCTCACTGTGGCCAGGTAAACAGGGCTTTTTACATCCAAGGAAACCCATCCTGACGCCGCGGATGTCGCAGATGCAAAAAGGCAGTTCTAGCTTTTGCAATACGTGAACTGACTTCAGCGGTTATGCGCCCATCCTTACTGACGCAGCTGCAAAGGTAGGTGAAGTGAACAACTAGAGTTGCTCGTCATCACGGGTCAAGGGGTCATCCAGCGACTTGTGGCTCTGCATTAATAGTTTGCACTTTGAAGGCGGGAAGCGCATGCTTTATGATGAGTCCACACCGTAGAGATTAATCAGGGTTGAATTTGTCGCCCGAACTCGGTTAAACAGCGAAACGATATCGTCCGCATAATCAACATTGACTAGCATTGCACCAGGCAGCATCTCAACGTCTGCATCGTGAGGCTCTGCAAGGGAACGCTCCATAATGGAGTCCACGACGAAAGTGAACAAAAATGGGGAAAATTAGACAACCTTGACGAATACCACCTGTTGTTGGGAAGGTATCCAAAAAGCAGCCGCAGCCTGTCGTGTTCGAGTATAGAGCAAGTAAAATGTTCATATATTTCATGGGAACACCTTTCCGTGCAAGTATTTCGAACAGAACGTACTGGTCGACTGAGTAGAATGCACTCTAGAGGTCGGTCTGCGTTATGCGTAGCACTGCTCTAGCAGCTGCCGTAGAATGAATATACAGCCAAGTCCTGAATGAAAATCTTCCTGCTCTTCTCTGCTCCGGGGTTCCCGTTCCGTATTGAGGTGAAGAACGAGAATAGAAGCCGGTAATTTTGTCACAACCGGTGTTAGGCTAATACCTATGTGCTTAGTCCATTCCGTGCGAATGCGCTTCTTGTATACTGCCAGTATAAGCGACTCACTTCAGTTAGATGGGATGATCACATTCCAAACACGTTGGAACAAGAGGGTCAGTGTTTTGCAGAGGAAATTACCACCTTAAATAGTGCAGATGGGAAGGAATCCGGGCCACGAGCACGAACACGATTGAGGGCTGTGATCGCATTTCGAACCTCAGCCTCTTACGGAGCCTCTAAACTAACCGGCCATAGCTCAGCCTGCATCACCTGAGTAGGAAGGGGTCCGGAAGCAGGTGGCTAACTGAACTGAGCCTGAAAGTGCTCTACCCAAGGAGCCATACGGCGCTAGTTATTGTGAATCAGGGCACGCGCGCTGTTTCTGATTGCCTCATTGACATCTGGTTTCCTGGGACCAGTGGTGTGGAGTAGCTGGAAAAACTTGCGATCATTGCTTACTGCTTCCGCCTCCTCAATTTCTTGAATCCGTCTGGTCCACCAAACTTCCTTGTCAGAGTGTAGGCTACGCCGTAGTTCGCGCTTAATAGTCCGTCTGGTCACTTAGTGCTTAGAGCCAGCTAGAATGTTTCTTCTGGATTCCAAGAGGTTCACCAGCCTCTCGGATATTCAGTGACTGGTGCGGTGACGACTGAGCACTGCGTTGCGCATGGCGGCCGAGATCCTATTCTACTGAAGCTCAGTGTCATTAGAATGAGAGAGTGAAAGTTCGGTACGCAACGTATCCTGGTACGCATTACTGGCCGAGGGCTGAGATAAATTCTTAGTTTTCATTCTATGGAGACGCATGGTACGCCTCCCGGGAAAAGGTCTTGCAAAAACGACCGCGTACCAAGACCTAATCAGAGCCGACTCCAGAAAGGGCGACAATCCAGGATGGAACCACGCTATCTGTAAGTTATGGCAATGTGATCAATTTGGGTCCATCGCTGGCCAGCTACAGGATGCCAAGTGTCACTTCGGTACCAACTGTGTCTAAATCCGGTGCTATTTTGAAATAGCTGGTGCTCCGCACACAGTTACAACAGCCGCCCACCGTTGTCCGCCCGTTCGGTGTTAAGCCCATACTTACCAAGTAGCTGAGCTTCTGAAGTGCCCAAGAGACCTGCTTGCGCATTCACATCCCCTGTAATAACAACAGTATCTGAACGGGGAACACTGCGAAGCAGCGCGTTTAGTTCGTGGTAGGTGTCCATGGTAGCATCAGAACTGCAGTCGGGGGGTGGCATAAGCGGAAACCACAAACAGCGTTTCGTACTACTTTGTAAACCGATCTGTCATTGGTGGGGTTGTGCGGAGAAACTGTCAAAACTCAGAAGTAACCGAACTGCCGTTCGGTGAGTGCGATGGCCGGTTATGATGCGTGCAGCTATTCATGGAGATCACTACTATTAACCTGGTTCCAACATTTACACAGTGCGCGAATCTGATACTATAAATAACTCTGGTAGCAAGGTCAAAACATTGCTTAAAATGTTCAAGCGAAGCCAACGCACGGCATAAGTGGTTAAGCGAGGCTGTCAAGGTGAGTGTCGAAAGACAGCGAGACGATTCAACATAGCACCACTGGTGCCTTCTCCAACGTAAGTTTGCTTCAAATGAACCAAATAGAACTTTGATAAGCCTGGAATAAGTAATAGATTAGTTTGCACTGCGTCTGAGTATACATTTAGAGTAGCAGTCGCGTGGGAGCGTGTTTCGATGGGCCCATGCCTCGCCAGATGGCATGGACTAGAGAAAAACAACAAATAAATTATCAATCAACCAACGAATCATAGAAGGTTAAGAGGTGAGTATTGCCCGCTTTGTCAAGTGTCGCAAGGGAGGTCGGGCGACAGAAGGGTAGGCGTGGAGTGCAGTTCAGAGTGTTGGATACAAACAAAACAGTGGAGCGAAACGAACGTCTGGTGCTTTTCCGGACTGATAGTTGACTTATGTGGCTTGTGATCCGATTGTGATGAACTAACTTGGCAGGAGTCGGACACAATAGCTTAAGTGATCAGCGAGCTAGCAGTGTTCAAAATGCACAAAAATGAGGGAGTTCGCTTGCCCTTTTCCCACCGGTAGTGCACCCGTGGTACCAGAAGTAATTCTCGTACCTTGTACGAAGAGAGTGATGTCCAATGATCCAATTTAAGCAACTTGAAAATTCCTATTTAGAAACTGAAAACACGGGACCATAGGTGAACAACTGTTTTCCATGATTCTCCAGATCATCACAATCATATCTAAGGGTAAAAGAATGAACTAAAATCGACCAATTGACTTAAGGTGCTTTCTTTCATATACCCGTAAATATGCTTGAAATGGTCTGAAGAGAATTATCGAAAACAAGTGTTCACTTATGGCCTCATGTTTTCGATCCCAATTTACTGTGGGTGCAACTAATAGTGCGAGTGAAACAAATAATCTGATCTGATGTTAGCTATAGAATAAGCGTTTAAACTACTGAATCCCAACAACACAAACAACACTGACCTGGGGAGGTGGTATAATAAACGGATGGACAGTTGGGTGTGTGAGTAAGCAAACGCTGACTCACCTGATCCGCAATCTGGAATGACGGCTGATCAGGTGAGTAGAAGGCTTGGATGTCCGGCTCTTGCTGTGCGAGCTGATAGAATGGACAGCCGAGTCCGAGTGAACTCGAGCCAATGGTAAAGTGCACAACAGGCCTGGTGAAGAGAGACTGGATAGAGTAAGTGATCGTAAGCCACCGGTTAAATGTGATCCGCTGAGAGCTCTGGAGAGAGCAAACAACTCGGGGTCACCCGACAACCGAGTTTTGGGAACACATCCACCAGGTGGCTCTGGCGGTGGTCGGCTGAGAGTGCCCAGGGCGATAGCGCGGCCGGTTTGAAAATAAGAATTCGATGAAAAGCCAACAGGAATCGGCCTGGGGACGCTTGATACCCGGGGAACAGTTCGGTTTGCATTGAATGCGATAGTGGACGCTTTTCCGGGATGTTCGTGTGGGGTAGCTGGTCCCTGAAGTGCAGCGTTACGAATATCTCTATCATTCTCCGCGACTTTCGGACCAAGAGAGTCCAGGTGGCTGACGAGTGGATTGTGAGGTTCCGCGTTGCGCGAAGTATCTACCTCGCGGTGGTCGGTAGCTCGCTTCGTCGGAGTCGCAGTGAAGGTTGTAAGCGTATGGCAGTTTGATGCATCGTTGAGCATCATGCTAGGAATACCATTCGCACTTGAAAGACACAAAGAACGTGTGCGAAAGCTGGAAACAAGGATAGAAGGGATGGATAGGCAGAAAATGATAGTTAGAGACTTAAACGGTGACAATGGTTATTTAAAAACCAAAGTAGTTGTATGCAGGAAGCAAGCAGACATGAGTCGTTTACAAGAGTTTTTACTCCAAACGCATAGCATAATAAAAACGCCCAATAGAAAAACCTAAAATTATTCATATATGTGTAAGTGCGTTTAGCAGTCTAGATGAATTCTGTGAGGGAACCGAACCAAGATGATGACAAGATGATGATGATGATGGTGTTGATGGTAAAAGGATCGATATAAAACTGGTATAGTAGGGCTAAATCCCATCGGACGAGTTCACAGGTTGTGAAGAAGTTACTGGTGAACACCACTTCAAGGAACTTTTATTCGGTTAGGTGCGATTAACAAGCAGCAGCAGACAATCAGCTACAGCGTTTTGGTGCGGTATACCCCAAGTTGGTCACCTAATTAATTGTTAAACGATACAAGAGTTAGTGTGATGCTGTGTCGAAGCTGATGTGACTGGTAATAAGATTATTGGTCACTCAATTCCGCGAAGAGGAGTGAAAGAACAATTTTGATAACTACAGTCATACAAATGCAAAGAGAGGGCACAGGAACCATCTGGCCCCCTGGCACAGTACTGAGCCCCGATACCGAGGTAGCGCAACTTGGTCCCCGCGCTGACGTACAAGGGTCCTCTAGGCGCTCGGAGCAATCTGACACCCCAAAATATACGTTACGCAGAACTTGGCAATCCAATCCACGATGAACGGCGATTGTCCTTTACGGCCCAAGGTTCAGGGTTGGATTTCCTAAACCAACCCTCATCCTCGGCCTCGATAGCAGACAAACAATGTAACGACCTAGCCAGTCCCGACTTTGAGCATTGGAAATTCTCTCCTCGGCAAAAAGCGATGACTTCGATAAACCATGTCGGACAGCAACGCGAGTCAGTTTGAACCTCACACTTGGTAAGTTCCCTATGGTTCAGTCCACAACAGAAAAAACTCCTATCCACGACGGTGGGCAGTTCAAGACCAATTGTGCAAGTAAAATCCCTTCTAACACGCCGTTTCCAAACCAAGCTGGCTACATTCAATGCCTGGTCGCTTACGCAGCTCAAACCACGAGCATTTATTGCTTGCATCCAGAAAATCCATAACACAGATATGAGCTGCTGCAAAAGAGCTTGATTACATGAGTAAAACAATAACCGATGACTGAGTTGATTGCCTGCAAATTCAGACGGCACATACGCCACCCAATTAGTCAAATACGTGGTTGCAAAAGCTGGTCGTGATGCAGACATTGGGGTTGCGACAAGAGCAACAGCTGCTACAGTGTTGGTAGAATAGACGAATATGGGAAAGATGACTAGACACCTCCGTACAATCCTTTAGTAGTAAAGGGGAAGATGTGCTGCTCATTCGTCGTAACAGAGAATGAACATGCTTGGATACAGTTACCAATCACATTTACCGCCAATCCAACAACATTTCCCAGAAAAAACGCTAAATGAATATTGCGAAGCTTGCTGTAGAATTATATGTGCTGACATACACGAAGCTAGTACTCAACAGAGTCATGATACTGTCAGGACAAAAACGGCGATTGACGCACGCAACCTCTGACCGAATATGACCAAATGGTATACAGCTACGTCAACATGTAGAAAGATTCTGATTTCGATTACTCACTGTTCCCACAAGCCAGACAGGAGGACAAGGAGCAGTCACCCATCAATTTCGGTTGCAGACGTTTCTCCAACAGACTAGGTGGGATTTTCATTGCGTATTAGCAAATAGCCTGTTAGCAGTAACTGAGATTCAGGTAAATCCTACGAAAGATGCTGATGGATACAAGACTGGGCTTTACATACGCTTCATTTGTTAGTAATGAAATGCCATGCGGATTGGATCTGTTAAGGTACCTGGGGGGGGCCCTCAATATTGTGGAGATTGCTGTAACGCAGGTAAGCACGTTTCAATCCAATTGGTGGATAGCTGTATGGGTCAGAAAAAGCGGTTGTTGTTCAGTCGCCACATTTTTCTATCTGAAGCTGCAGTCTCTAATCTATCGAATTTATTCCCTTCTCAACAATTGGTACACAAAATGATCAATGCGCAGGTTGCTTGAATTTGCTATGGAGAACCATGCTTAGAGAGATTCTCTTCTTTTCTTGTCTCGCCATGGGTCCAAATCTCGATTTTTGCCCAACCAAAGTTGTGTCCCTCCTCATTGAAAACGTGTAGATTCAGGTTGTCGACGCGTTTCGAACAGAGATAGCCCTCGGAAAATCAAAACGAAAATTGGGTGGCGATAAAAAAATCTGACACTAGAGAACACAAGGTCGTTTTGTACTGCACAGTAATCTGAAACACTATGTCACTGTAGTGAACTTTCACTGGCTGATTCTTGCTTACCATCTGTCTAAGTTCATTGGCTCGTGATGACGTTTGGAGTACTCATTTCTTGGCGGGAACAAAGTTGCGCTCTGCTCACAATTTATCGTACAAATTCTGGGCTGCTCATCTGACTCGTGTAAATGTGGCCAGTTTGCGCTGGTAGTGCTGACCGGCTTATCACCCGCCGGCTCCGTCTGTTCCACTCGCTTAGTCAATCAGCCATTATCGTACTGTGCACGGCAGTTCGTTCAGGTTTAGTATCACGCCGGGGCAGCTCGTTTGCGCCTTTGTCGCGGACCGAAGCTGTGTTGGATCAGTGCAAACCAATTCCCCACTGTTCATCCGGGTCTCCGTGCATCGATTTAGCTCGCGTGTAACCTATCAGCTGCCATCACACTGATGCAACCTGCAATTAACCCCTTCTAACAGAAGCTATTATTGTACCATGCATTGAATGTGGCCAACATGAAGCGGACCGGACTATTCGCATAGTTTTCCCAACAACGCATTGACGAGATGCGAGTTCCCACAAAGTGGGGTCACGGAATCGTCACACTCGTCCACAAGAGGAAATCTCGTACCTGCGGCCCATTATCGCCCGACAACCCACTTTCTGGTATTTTCAAAATTCACTGAGGCTATTGTGGCAGAATCCATCATTGGTTATTTGGAGAGATGCAAAATCGTTGAAGCAAGACGACACAGGTTCCTATAGAAATAGTTTTGAGTTATAACCATGATGCTTTGCCTCGCCAGTTGGACTGGAGCCGTTGATATCGACATGCAGGTGGACACCGTTTGTCTGGAATTCCCACAGGTTTTCGACCATCTGAATCACCGCATTATGCTCCACAAGTTCCATAGCTGTGCAATTGGTGATCCAGTCCTCCATGTGAGAATTCGCAACGCTGCATTCGGCCTTATGGAAGCTCAGCACGGAACGCCACAGAGATTAGTACTGGTCTGGTCTATTTCTACATGAACGAGCTTGCATGAGCAATCACCACAAATTCCTTACTCCTCGGTAATGCTCTCAACGTTTGCAAACAATCAAAGCAACAAGCGATCATATGGCAAGCAAGACAATTTTGCCAAGGTATAGGAGTGAAGGACTCAGGGTTATCTTCATTCCAACCTAGTCCAAGGTACTCGATATTACAGTCTAGTAGATCACGTCGTGTAACGCGCTTTTATTGAGTTCGTCTTAGGGATGATGGCGCAGGACGATTATGGCTGTTAAGGCAAAACCGGGATCCATTTCTAAATTGGCTGAAGCTCAGTACTGTTAAAGAGCTATTTACTATTACGCAATGAAGATACCACCTAGATTGGTGGATAGATGTCTGCAACTAATGTGGAGTGGCCCTACTGGTATTCAGACGACGTCTAGCTTGCGATCAGAAAGGTGCTATTATGGACGAACAGGCATGTGCTACTGCGCACAAATTCGTACCCTGGCTTTATCGATCCAATACCATTGGATCGTACGGCTTTTACGCAAAGATCAAGAAAGATTCCTTGCATGGTAGTCTAGATCGCGTTGACCAAAAGGACCGGCTGCCGCCACACCAAATTGTTTAACTCGGAGGAGAAGTCAATGTCTCAAATGTCGACCCAAGCTACCGATATTCTGAGCTATGTCACCTACCAATCTCGTTAACTTGTTGGTGATAGCAAACAACCCGGTATGAAGAGTGTAATCGTTTAGAAATCTCAAAAGATCTTACGCTACCAACAGGCGCTTGGTGAGATTCCTCGTCCAGATGGTGAGAGAGCAAATCAACAAGGTGCAAATTCTGAGGAGCAGGTATCAGCTTCCGTGGGGAAGATAAAACGATGATTGCGAGCATTAAAACGTTTGAGCATACAAATCGTCCATTCGAAACTCGCGCTAACTCGCGCTAATGTTGTGTGGTATGGTGGGTTTCTTCGTGCGCTTGGGTTCGTAACACTAAACCTATAGCGACAAGGTAGAAGAAGCTTTCCAGTCAATGACTCACTCGTGGGCGTAAATGGATGGGCCTTTAGGACGAAGGCGAACCGACGGTTCTGAAGAGGCCAAAGTAGATCTGCGAGAGAGTCCAAATCGAGGCATCGGGGTTTCTGAATAGAGAGCCGAGTCATCCAGAAAATCAGGGCCAGTCAAAGTGCGAAACCCTAAAAGTTTGACAGAATCATTATTAGCCAGATCGGGGATGACAGTAGAGTCGACAGCTCGCAATAAATGCACCGATCGGCGACCGTGGCAACTAGAGAGGCGAAATCGTCGTTTATTCGACTGGTCAATATAACGCAACACCGGGGGGAGATTGACAGAGACGCGTGGAGAGTTGTGGTCTGCTAGAGAAGGACTCGACTTGGAAAAATCCTTCGGGTGCTTGGACAAGGGGGCAAAAGAAACGGAGACTGGCGAGGGTGGTTCCGACCGCTCCACTTTGGTGGGATCTGGTGTTGGGAAGAATAGAATAATGGATGATAAACGTCTAACAAACGAAGGCGGTGTAAAGCGCATAAGCATTGTAGATACTAATGTAATAAAATAAAGTACTCTATCAAACATGAACGGAGAAGACGCGCCACATTGAAGTGATCGGAGCTTTGCAGGCATGTATTAAATACAGTGTTGTCGCTGTTTCGGCGATGAATGCCAAACACAAGGCTCAACCGTCAGTTCGAACCAATGAATTTGTGACCGCAGTAATTTGTTGATAACTGTGACACTAGATGAACAGAAGCTCTGAAAATAGAATGGTGCAAGTGGGATGCGGATGGACATTGCTGAGGACAACTAGATGCAAAGGAACCAAAGCTTCACAAACCTTGATTACAAGTCAATCAGTGCCAGCGTTAATGACGCACAAAGCGATGTTGGTGTAGTCATGAAATACAATGGCCCTCGTCAGTTCCATGTGGCTGTGCCGCAAGGCGCCATTCGCTGACCTACGGTTGCGATAGTACGCCTGGTCAGACTCACACACATACATGGGTCGTTTGTAGACGAAAAATAACGAAATAATGATAAACATTGCAGATCTGCAAATCGATTTGACTACAGTAAGTGAGACACAAAACGAGGATCCCTTCAAACCAGCTGCAGCCGGTAAGAGACAAGTCCAACCGATATCGCGGCAAAGGCGTGAGCGCATGACGTGAAATCACAATGAACCATGATGAACACTTCGTGGTACATAAGGCCGAGATGTTGCCAAACCGAAAGCGAGGTTCCATTTCGCATGAAATTGAATAATAACTATGTAGTGTGGTAGTACAGAACGGTTGAGACTAACTAATCAGTAAGCAGTTAACATGAAATCGCCCCAACGGAGTCATAACATGTTGAAGAACGCAGTTAACAACCATCATAAAGTAAAACAGTGGAGATGTATTGGAAAACATTCGCTGCTTCCAAAACGGTGAGTTTCCACGGTCCGCAGAGATGAAAGAAAGTTGACCAGACAGGCCATTTACTCGTCGGCTCAGGCTTGCAGGCTGATCTAGCCACCCCCAAGGCATTGGTGCTCAAAGCAGTCAGTAGATTGGTAGAAGCTACGGAGAAAAACCATTATGGACAAACACAAATGGTGCAAGAAATGTGCTTGCGAAGGGGGCTGGATCATCGAGTGTGGTACCTAGGAAACGGACCACAATCAATTCACTGACAGAACGACAATTAGAAAACAGAACGAAAGGCTGCTTCTTATGGGTAGAGGAGAGTTCCCAACAGCAAACTTACTCGAAGCTTTAGAATTGACGTGATTTGAAGAGGCGTCTATCATCGTGCGAAACCCTGAGGGCAGATCTCCACAACTCGCTCCAGACGAGTCCTCGGTTGTGTGAGAGCTGGATTTTAAATAAACGTCACTATGGCGATGGTAGCGAGGAACGACGAGCTTCGAATCTGTTGCTGGTGGAGGTAGATACACATCCTCGAAGATGACGGGTAGACTTGTTGCATCGCCGTCTAATTCTCGACAACTGACTGGTAGTGCGGGAAGTTGTTGAAAATAAGCCGACTGTCGAACCTCGTTTGCAACAGTTTCATGACCAACCAGGCTGATAAGAAACAGTTGGAGAATGAGCATATCTCTTTTAAAGTAGAGCGAGAAGGTTGTAAGAAATAACGGACAATTAAATGAGTGGAAATGAACCACTGCAGCAATTGGTCAAAACCTTAAAAAAACGGAGAAAGCACAGCACTTGTAGATCGTCCTTGGAGCCTTGAAGAGGACACGAGAAAGAAGCAAAGATAGTAATCGGTTACAATGAAAGAGCGGTATCGGTAATTCCGAAAGAAAAAAGCAGCATGTATCGCTATGTGCTGAATGCAGCTGAGTCAACGGAATGACTATGACGGACAACATATTAGAGGATAACGCAGGAAGAAAAAACTTTGTGAGATAACCCTCGTTTCATTAATGCGTTTCACACGCATTAGTTGGAAGACGAACAGGGCGGTCTGCAACCGATCCATCCTCTTTCACTAGCGCACTAGAGCGCATTTCTGCGCTGCGACACTGTGTGCCCACTAAGATATATGCCAGGTGAGCCAAATGACTGTTGGAGGTTTTAAATAACTGGTAGTAGCTCGGGTGGCTGGTCCAGTTTTGGCAGTGTTCGCCGAGCTAGTCAATTTGACTACATATATCTCATCACCATCCGAGGTGGCACCATCAGTGCAGGGGGGTGTTAGGAAGTTGGTAGCAAAATCTAATGGAAAGCAAATCCAAAGAGCATGCAGGCTGGCTACGAAATCGTTCACACTCCTACACTGATAAGGGATGGGGATTCTGTACTCAAATTGCCAAGCTCGACAGATACCACAACAACTGAAAGTGGAGGTCAAAGAAATCCAGAAGCCGCGAAGTTCAAAGGAATCGGAACCCATTGCTGTCAACCTGGTGTCAGGCAGAACGAACGCAGCAGCCCCCTAGCCCACCAATGGGGTTACAGCTTGTTATCCTTATCTTCGGCCGACATCAGTCCAGAAATGAGTAATGTGAACGTGACCAACCAACTCCAGCTCACTTCTAATTCGGGATGCGAAGAAGAACACACATCCTAGGAGATTGATGACAGGCACTGATAGCGTGAAATGCAGAACAACAGGCCTAACATCCAGATGTCAGTGACGCGGAAGTGAACTTCCCAGTTTTCAGTACTGGCGCCTCACAACTGCACAAGCAACAGTAAACAAACAGCGTCGATCACAGTTGAGTGACAAATGCCAGGATTACACTAAGTGCACAGCATATCAAGGTGTGTTTGAGTCACTACAAGAAATCATTGTGTCTCGTGATTAGTGGAACTCCTAGTAAGCACCCGTGTTCCTAAATCAGGCGGTGGAGCGAAATAGAGTGCAAGCGGCGGAATCAATCTACGTGAACCAGGAAATGGATGGTTTGTATGTGGAACCAACCAGAAGTAAAGGAATAAAGAATGAAAAGAAAAATGCATGATAAGAGGGGTTTAAAGTAGTGAAGGTCAGAGCGACCGCCAATGCACGTCAGCAAAAATCCGTCCCACGAGAAGAGGCCACAAAGACGGAAGTGTAGTGATAAGGGGATAGCGTCGCTAGACACGAATGTGGGAGCCAAAGGTAATCATACCTTTCCATTCCACATCATCGGTGTCAGCACAAACAGTAGTATATCAGTTAGGTGAGCTGATGCCTCGCTACCATATAAACGTGAGGAATTAAGGAATAAGGAATGACAACATGGGAAGAGGGGGACCCAGCATGACACCATAATGCTATAGGCAAACGTTCACGGTCAAGGTGCCTACACCTTGTGTCAACAACATACCATCACCAACAGCTGACTATCGTGTGAAGATAAAGCGGCATCGGCAAGAAAACTTCCTTGCGGCGTTCACTGTCTCGCATCGTAATCAGCTAATACACTGCAGATAACTCAGCAACAAACACAGTTTAGACAGTAAGACTGAGAGACAATAACAGACGTGCCAATGGTGCCGACCGCAAACCACATTGTATAAAGTGTCGGGATAGGAACAAGGCGGATTGCGTGGAGTCCAGCCAGGAAGCTAAGAAAGAACAAAAGCGTTCAGTTTGGATGTCGACCTTTAGCCACCCCATCGGACCATACACTATCCAACGTCCGACAATTATGGCCCTCATCGGAAAGCGGATATACGCGGCACGTATCCTAAACAATGCAACCTGTTCATGGTCACTTGCTTCTCTAAAGAAAGAAAACTTGTTATCACTGCATGGCACTCTCATGTGCTGAACATCGTTATGAACCAGAAATGCTCCTCAGGTAAGGATGGATCTATCCTCAATCTTGAACCACATTGTACTGAGACAGTTGGGTTAAAAGATGCAATAATATGTTGACAAAAAAGATAAAAAATGACCTGATCCTCACCTGGGATCATACACAGCCAATAAGTGCACAAGAGAAAGTTCTTGACAGAAGAACGCTTCCGCAAGCCTCTTCATCTGAAAAAAGACACATTAGTTTAACTCGGGCAATTGGGGTAGAAAGGTGGTAAAAGAAATCGTGCCAAGCGCATACAGTGCAATACCAGTGGGGAATTCGGGTGGTTTGCGTTCTCCATGTGCGCAACAAACACCTACCTCTGTTGTTGCCGACAGTACCTCCAGTTTAACTGAGCTTCGTGGCCAGAGGAAATGATCAAATGACCTGGAGAGTGCTGTCCGCTTTGAAGGGCCTCAAGACCGACCACACATCAGTGGTTACAGACTTCATTGTATGCGACACCGTAAGGAGACCAATGACGTTCCGGAAATCCGTGCTTCATCCAAGGTTACCAAACTGTTCACAAGATAATCCATCCAATTTCCAGGCTCTTTATAACGTATCTACGTTGTTTCTACATTCTCAGTGTTTCACGGTCAGTTGTTTTACTGATACAGTAAAGAGTGCTTCGGTAACTTAAATGCCGCAATTCGCTGTCCAGATAACATCTAATTACTACAAGGATGTTGAACTGTGCTACGAAGTACAGATGAGTTGTTGTTGTTGCTGTATTGCATTGTCTGAAGACTGAGGCTATTGAAAGGTTTGGTATTGTATGTGGCAGAGTTCACCTGACCAGCTAGAAAATCTTGTCTCGGAAAATGTGACAAGCACGTGGAGCTCAAGGATATAATTCGGCTGTGGGACACCGTTTAGCGCAAATGTTCAACATAAAATTGTAACTGGTGAAATGGATTGTTGTGTCAAGTCGGTTCGCTGTTTTCGGCGACGACGATGAGATCAAGGGTACCTATTGACGTCACAACCTATTGGGCTCAGAACCGCTGACGACGGATCAATATGTCACGTCCGGCGAACCGACAGTAGATAGATTCAGTCATAATGACTTGTTAATACTAGCAGGTGTGTTGGTGTGAAGGTGAATCTGGAAACAAAAATGCTCTACAAGGTCCGCGGAGCAAACGAACTGTCGTATCCGGTAGCGTGAGAAGCTCAAGTGAAATTCACACCCGGTCTGATAAACGCAGCAGATGTGTGATGAGGGATCAGATGAATGGAATCAGCAGTAATACCAACGTTGAAGACGACGTGCCTCGGCGAAGCTGGGTGCATTTGTGCCCAGAAATAAGCAAGATCAAACGAGGAGACGTGGTGGTTAACTTCTAGAGAAAGTACGGAAGCAATCGTAGGAGGTAAGAAAGATACAGTTAAGGTAGTCAAGAAGCGCTGGAAAAGGAACAGACAGACAGATACAAAATCAATGGGAGACCAACCGAACCTTAAGCCGCCAGCAAACCTGTCAAAGCCAGCAGCTTCACTACGCCCGAAGTGATCAGAGTGCTGACAACCAACCATTGGTCCTAGCCGAGCGTAAATGTGTCAACCACACCGAAGAATACGTCATAAGCGAATGGAATCACAAGCGTGCACCATGGATTGGTGCAAATTGCTGTGCATCACCAATTCGAGGTAAATGCGGATGTTGACCGTAGCCTCTTCCGCTCATTGACCTTAGTGGACTATCAATTAGAATAGAATGCTTTCGACCGTCCTGAGAATTTAGGTCGATAGCGGCGCCATTGCGACATGTTAGCCAAAGCGCCATGACGCACTGCGGTAACTGATCAAGCATACGTTAAAAGCAGTAACCAATGTCGTCTATGGGCTCAAGTTGAAATCAAGTCAAAATAGGCTTTATACACCTAAATAGGTGCATTATCAGCGTTTACACTATCACTGCGGATACATTAAATGAATGGGACCAGAAAAATACATAAACACAGATTGAAGAATTAAATAGTCAAAGGTATGTGGATGTCATTCAAGCAACCGCGTGCGCAAAGCATTTGTGACTTTCAGAAGGTCGACAAGAAAGCGTGATAAACAAGCCAAGATTGTTTTACGATACGAAGAAGTGCAAGAGAATAAAATCTTAAATTTTGAGCGTGTGTGAAAGACAGATAACGTTTGTGAGAGAGCATCATGTAGTGAATGAGAACGGTCACTTAGGGCCTTAGAAGAAAAATTCATGCAAACGTCAAAATGTTTACGAGCAATAAAATCAACAATGGAATCTCTCGACAAACCATTACATTTGGAAATATGTTTAATCAATCGCACAATCAAAGCATTGTCCATCTGCAGTAGCTCAGGGAAGATTACTGGGGAACAGTACAACCAGTGGAGTAGTATACATGTAGTTGCAAATCGCAAAGTAAGCATCGCGGTATGGAGAACTTCCTAAGTCAGAAAGCCCAAGTTAAGCTTGTGTGTAATGATGTTCTGATGAAACAGATATTCATCTTACATGTCCAATACACGAATACACTTTGTTTTCGTTGGCACGTCTAGCAGTTAACGACTGGCTAGCCGAAGAACCTCCTCGTGGTACCAGCTGGGTGGTTCCGGTCTATCCTGTTCCAGCACATGTTTCGGCAGCAATGTTCCAGGACATACTGGGTTACCACCTGACAAGCGTCCTTCTTATGAAAAGCCACACGTGTTCTTTGAACAACAATGCGACGTAACGGATGTGACTCGCCACTAAAAAAGTCAGTACCCCGGTGGAGCATTGTATTCCACCAGCCTTGTGCTGAAATTAAAGGGAGGATTGAGCCCCTTTTTGGTGCCATTACTAAACGAAAGGTGTGTGAACCGAGAAATCGGTCACCAGCTCCCAATGGGCGCGATTCCCTGAATTCACCCCGCTGCCTTGCGGATAGACTATCATGTTAACGGCTCAGGGGAGTCCCTCAAAAAAATCCCCACTTCGGCTTGAGCAATCGGGTAGTATCGTGCCCGCTGCAGAAACCATGGATCACACTACTACGTCGCACGCTCTCATTGTTCTCTCCTTCGTCTCTCACCAATCTCCAGCAAACGCCAACCATTTAACAGTTATCCATCCGTGTTACCCTCCAGTTAATCTCTAAACCGGTTTCGATGCTGCCCACAAAGTCCGGCCTGAGGCAATCCTTCGATCCCGATTCTCGTTTCGACTTGCACTGTTCGAACTCTTATGCAGGTTGGACAACAGGCCGGTCTAACACGCACTATGGACTTACTCGCTATAAATGTATGCTGCCTTTCCGAACACTGTGCTCAAGTTGACTTCCCGACGAATCAGGTGGCCACATACCACCTACGTCTTTCTGGTGACGCAGAAGCGGCTGCACCTGGTTTGGCAGGCGTAGGTGTTGCATTAAGCAGCCAAGCCGACACTGCTCTACTGGACTGGTTTCCAGTCAAGAGCCGATTATGTGCATTTCGGTTTCAAGGTTCATGCAAACAGGCACCGCGTCGAATGGCGCAACTTGTTCGGGGTCTCCACCTTTGCGTCAACGGACTGTAGCTGTGAATTGATCAAGGACGATTTTTATTGCTAACTTCATAAGCTTTTGTTAAAAGCCGCCAAAGCGGATGTCGTCGCCTTCTCCGGGGACGTATTGATCGCTTGCTAAGAGGTGAAAATCAACTGAGTGGTCATCATGCACTGCACGGGAATCGCTCCGATAACTGAAACAGACTTCTAACACATTGTGAAGGTAATAGCTTACATATTGCATGCACCAACTTCAGACCCTCGAGAATGTGTTCTACCACTTTCCGCCCGCATTCACCAATGCAGTCTTGGTCTCAAATAGACCACACTGTAATCAGTTTCAGGTGGCGAAGTAGCATACAAGACTGTGAATCATTTTGGTCTATTTGCTTCCGATCACGCACTGGTTTATGTGAACATTTGCATGCGTTTTGGGGGTCATCCCAAAAAGGAGCATTGTAAGCTTGATACGAACACCCTAGCGGCCGATCGGTAGATTCAGGTGAAATACCAATTGTCTGTAGCAAACGCCTTTGCTAGTACTCCTTCCAATGACGTCGAACTGTATCGAAACTACTTGCAGAATACGATGCTATCTTTTGGTCAATAAGTAAGTGGATTCACTCATGGTCCCTCAAAGAGTTGGATCTCCGCGCGCTCCCTGACACTGTTTGAGCACCGCCAAACTCCCCCACATAACTTCGATCAGAATAAACTTCGCCTCGTTATCAGCCGTCAACTCAAGCGAAGCCTTCGCGATAATCATAAAACTCGATGGTCTCAATGCGCAATAGAGAGGGAAACCGCCGCCATCTGTGGAAACACTCGCAGGTTGTTTCAGCCCATTCGGACCAATGGACACAGAAAGTCTGGTGTGAGCGAGGTTATCTGCAAGGTGAATGGGCCACAAACCACCAACTTGCATTGACGTATGGACAGATAGGTCGAGCATCTCCAAGCTCGATTCAGTTCTTCCACATCGCCCACTTTCGTACTCAGCTCGTCCAGTCGTATACCATAGAGCGCGTCACTCGAACCAGCCACTGAGACCGAATTTCGCCTTGAGATTAGACATTTGCAGTGCCTTAAGGTAACTGGTTCAGACCAGCTTTTTTCAGTACTGTTCAAATATGGTGGAACGGAAACTTTCATTCAGCTAACAACCCTATTTCTGAAGATTTGGAGATAAGAAAGACCCCAGTCTTCATGCAGATATTCAGCTATTGCCACAGTCTTCACGAAAGTTCCAGACTTCATTTGACAATCAAAGACGAAGGAGCCTGATATCAGTTGACTCCAAGCTTCTAGTATCCATCATTTTGCGCAGTCAATCGCCAATTCGAGAGGCGAACTATAGGAAGGAGCAGGCTAGTTTCCGCCACGGCCATCATCATCATCATTATACACGTCAGCTAGAGGTGGGAAAACACCTCCGCTATTGTGCCGCAATACATGAAGGAAATACATACATACATGCATATAATACAATACATAAAGGAAAAATAGATACAACAGTTGCATGCCAGCTGAGCTACCAGCAACGGATAGGCATCGTTCCGGTAAGATACCAGCCAGCTACTAGGCAAAAAGAAAAAAATTATTATGTTACCCTAGGAAACGAGATCGTAGATGGAGGGGGAGGCTAAAAGGGATGGGGAGGGACAAAGAAACTCACAA